CAACAGCCACAGTCCCAGAGCTGGTAGTCTGGAATGTACTTGCAGCTAGTACCTAAAACTTCTCTGCTGCCCGGAGCACTGCAAATTCTATTTTTTATTGGTGCATTTTAATGAACATAGCTATTCCTTTTAACCTTCAAAGCTCTTCCCTGCAAATATTTCAGGGGCAAATGAAGAGCCCATTCCCTTCAATGCGTCTCCTCCTATTGATCTTGTTTCCAAAGTACTCAGGCTTTGCCTGTATGATTTCAGTTCTATTTTAAAGGTTTAGGCAATCTTAAGAACAACCTCAGCTATTTTAAACTACGTTAATTTGATCATACTAACCTACAGTTTGCAGGCTCAGAATTCAATATCCACAGTCAAAGATGACTCAGACTACTCATTCCTTTCTGGATTTTTTTTCTCCTTTTTTTTTTTTTTATTAAACAAACCATCTCACAACCTTCTGTATTACCATTTTGGCAGCTGTGACTTATACAACCCAGACGTCAAAGACTTTCAAAGCCGGATGACCAGCTGGAGAGTTGGATGACCAAACCTATTCCAGTGAGGAATCTAAACTGGTTAGCGTCATTTTTATAGTAGGATTTTCCCCTCTTAGGTCACAGTCTGCTAGGAAACTGCAAATGAAGGTACACACTGGCCTTGAGACAAACCCACCCACATTAAGTAAATTTAAATCAGTGCTTCCTTCAGGAAACAAAGACTTGTATTACTTACAAGCAGATTTGATTACGGTTTAGAGGACTGTTTAAGGCCATCTAGCAGATCAAAGGAAAATAGAATTAAACTGCTGTTCTCATTGTTTTAACAAACACTGGTTGATATCTGATGCAAAGATCAACAAGCTTGATGACTCCCAGTAAAAGTTTAGTGAAAACACAGACCATAGTAAAGACTTAAACATCCAATCTCACTATTTCATCTAAATATCTTCAGATTTTAGATTTTAAATTGAGGCAAAAAATAGTCCTATTCTAACATTTGTGAAATAAAGTCAAGCTCATGATAACAATAAAATGAAGAAGCTCACAATACTGTGCCGCCCTCTCTCTTCAAGGCCATAAAAAAGCTCATTAATCTCATCATCAAGAGCACACCTAAAATACTTTCAAAACATCACAGCATCCAAGATGTCTTTATGCACATCCAGGTACTATAGCATCCAGTAAACATGCAGATTCATACAGCAGCATGCAAACAGCCTAGCAAAGAAAGGGTTAAGACAATCTCCTCAAAGCATTTCCAATAATTCCTCTAGATCATTCTGTTTGTGAGACGTATTCTAGCTGGAAAGCTGGACTGGTATCAGTTCAGAAGTTGCTGTTGATCTGACACAAGCCAAAGGAACCAGCAAACTGCAAGGAGAAAGTCGCTAGATAGATAAAAATACCCAACACATGAAGCAGAAGGCTCATGTTAAGAATCAGTTGGATCCCCTTTATGTTCCAGAAACAATTATTTTACCTTTAATTTCAAAGGGGCTTTGGGAGAAAAGATTGAAGGCAATATAGTTCATTTTAGCAAAGCGCATATTGCAAAATATAAATTTTAAAATCTATTTTTGGGCTAGAATGGCTGAAGAAATCCCTGATTAGCTTCTTAATGGGGTGAGTCCAATTTATTGAGAATGATCACCAGAGGGAGTCATTGACTTTCCCATTAAAGTCAAAGGGAATTTTACATACATCAGGAATGCAGAATTTGGGGGCAGAGCTGAGAAAGACTTCAAACAGATTGGAGTTTAGGGACTAACACAAACCACTGTTTTATGGATTTCATCTGAATCCATTTTCCTCTTTGGAGTCCCAAAGGAAGACTGCTCTATTCCATGGTTCAAGTTAGACAGAAGGCACTGACACAAAAAAAATTAAAAAATTAAAACCCCAGCATTTAACCGGTTTTAAAGCAGTTTGGATTGGTATAAGTAATAACTGCTCAGTTTTCTCTTTGGACATGCAACTTATCACAGTCCTTCTGGAAATGCAGTATTTAACAGCACAAAGAAAATCACCAGGTGTCAGATATGACAGTATATCATACCTCCTGGGAATATCAGGACATCAAATATAAAAAAAAAAGAGTGAGATGGAGACAGAAAGAATTGTTAGCATGAGGTTTTTTTGCTTGTTTTGGTTTGTTTGATGTTTTTGTCTTCAATGCTAGTGACTAAAAGAGGAAGCAAAAATAAGGTTTTGTGAATGAAGTGATAAAATGAACTAAGTAGACAAACCAGTCAGCCATAACCAATATGCTCAAATACCTAAATTTCATGACCTTCAAAGAAATATTTTCATGTTAAGAACTGGGCTTTTCATTGCTTGACTTCAGCTCAACCTTGTTCTTGCCACAGAAGCCCAGCAGACTTTAGTTTGAAAACAAGCTCATTCACTCAGCAACTTTCTCCTTAATTCTGTACAATAAGATTATATAGCAGAAAATTAGGCGATTAAAAAAAGACAAGGCAACAGCCTCACCCAATCAAATGCAATTTCACTTCCCTGGAAATATCCTCTGACCAAATGGAATTCAATTTGTTCCTGTGTTCCCAGGTAATGGCTGCACCTTGTTTTGTTTATTTAATTACTTCTTGTTCATGCAATTAGTGGACAGACTGCAGCCTTTTGTTCATTATAACACAGTTATTTGCATAGCTGTTTCTATTTTGAGGTTGAATTTTGGACAGAAACTCTATTTTGGGTTGTGGCAGGCAGAGCCACTGCTGGGAAGCCTCATGTAGGGCAGCATGCAGCAACCTACTCTTTCGTGGAGTGAGTCGCTCCAGGAACTGCCCTGGCTGCCCATCTGCTTCTGATGGCAAATCACAGACCTACTTCCAACACGCAGCTTAAGACCTGGCTGTCTTTCATCATAGGTACCACCAAAAAACAGCTGAGTCCATTCTATTCTAAAGCATTTTTGCCAACAGGCTGTCCATGCATGATTTACTGTCCTTTAGATTGAGTATTTGGAAAAATTTCTTCACTGAAAGGGTGGTCAGGCATTGAAACGAGCTGTACAAGGAAGTGGTGGAATCATCATCCCTGGAAGTGTTCAAAAAACACGTAGGTGTGGCCCCTGGGGACATGGTTTAGTAGTGAACATGACAGTGCTAGGTTAATGGTTGGAGTCAATGACCTGAAGGGCCTTTTCCATCCTAAATGGTTCTATGATTCTAAGGCATCACTCTGGTCAATGTATGCTTCATTTAAAATTATCAGTACTCTTTCACTGCTTGGGTGAAAAAAAATTAGAGATGGAGGCTACTTCAGGCTGTCTTTGATGAACAATTTGGTCTAACATCCAGTTGAGTCTAGTGCTGTTGCAATGCTCAAATGAGATTTTGCACAGTCAAACCTTCTTTTTAAACACTCAAAATATATCCCCGGATCACAAAGTTTTGCAGAATGCTGACCCTCTCCATTAATAAATGCAGCAATCATCACCCTCCAGGTCCTCTGAGTTTCCAGCAGTGAACTGATGTCAGCTTATTTTTATCTAGGTTGCTCAGAAGTTGAGGAATCTGTACCATCTTAAAGAAATGAGAGGCAGTCAGTGCCGAGGGAAGACTGCATGCTCTGGTGCCTGGAAGTTACCTTCATCTCAGCCTCCAGGCACCTAAACACACTCAAAACTCTGCCTCTCAGGAGAAATTACACACCAACACACCAACTTACACTACTTGAAATATAGAGAGCTGAAACAGACAGCTTGGAAAAATTCTCAATCTTTGTAATTTACAATTCAGCCTTCATATATGACTCACTGCTCTGGTCAGGATTAGTTCTGTAACCAAATGCAGTTAGATATAGCCTCTTAACAACACTGTTGTAGTCCTACCTGTGCCATCTGCCTCTCCAGCTTTGATCGGGGAATATCATCAAAATAGTTTTCATTTCTTCTTCTCCTTGCATCGCCCTGCATGATAATATGGGGAACGTCCAGGGAGCCACCAGTAGTGAAAGTGCTTTGGCTAAGTGATGGAGACAACTGAGGAGGAGTGTGGTTACCACTGGGTTCCTGGACAGAGAGAAGAAAAATGCAGCATGAGAACAGCATATTGCTGACTTCAAACCACACATTGAAAAGTACATTTGAATGGCTCACACTACAAAAAATTATGGAACTATTTCTGCAGTAGTGGTTACTATGGACAAACTTCTGAGATTTGCTACCTAAGGTAGCATGTGGAAGCAAAAATAATTCACTATTTACATGAACTAGTGGCAAATTTCCTCTCCAAAACCTCCTTGTGTAATACATACTCCCTTCTAGGACTGCTAGAGAGATAAAACAGTGAGTTACTTCTTGTCAAGGTCCAAATAAAGCCATGATTTAGGACTAGCTATTTGTAAGATGAAATGCATTCTCACCACTTCTGAGCAGCTGCTCTGAGCAGTGAAAGTGATTTGAACTCTAGCAACATCTCTGGCTGGAAGAAAGAAATGCATGTCCATTTACACAACACAGCTACTTTGTTGCAATTTTTATAGGTTTGGCAGAACATCCATTCTAACTTGAAGTGCCAGACCCCAGCTAAACAGCAATTCCTAGAACTCCTGAAAGCATGGGTACAAATGTTTTACCAGGTTTTTCTTGTTATCTGTTCTGAACTGTAACCTTGTATCAGACTGTGCAAATGCAACATTGAATCGGTATATAAACTCTATCTAATAAATAGATAAACAAATCCTCCTGATCATACATTTTACCAGGATCTCTTTTTCAAATACCAACTACGAACATCGGTGCCTAACTCTGCCATTTAACACTCTCTTGGAAACTGCCATCAGCACAAACAGAGAGCTACAGAGTACTGGCCAGAGAGTCTGCATGTGTACCACTCCAGTGAGGGCAGCAAAACAGTCATAGCAACCAAATGGGGAAATATGTTCCCCTCTCATGATGTAGGTTATTGGTCTCAATTTATCTGATGCCAGAGATTTCTCTGATAGCAAGTTCTTTGGAGGCCAAATGTACCCAGGAGCACACAGTGCAGACCTTCTCTAAATAACCTGTTGCTGTAATACTCTATTTCAATACTGAGCAACAAGAAAGGACCTGGAGATATCAGAAGAAGGAAAGACTTGCTCCAGTGTGCACGGAGGGTAAAAAGACCAGCCTTTTATTTCAAGAGAGTATTAAAGTGGATGATTCATGTGTGATTATGTTGAAGCAAGCCCAGATCTGAAAAGCATCAAGGTACTTCACTCCACACTGTTAAGAAACAAGATCTGGTGTAAGAAATCAGACTTGTAATCTCTTCCAAATGGAAAGGTGTTCAAGTCAAAATAACATCTGATGTTAATATTTGGAGTGTAGGAGTCTGTATGACATTATTCTTTGCAATCACAATAATGGATTAGCATTTTGCATGTTGATTGACTTTAGTCAACCAACCAGAAAAAAATTAGGGAAATATAGTTGTTTAGCAATTTTTAATTAACTGGGATTTTTTTAACATTCTCTAGTTTTCCTATGATCTGAGACAAGCACTTGACATTTCCCAGGGCAAAGAAAAGAGTATTTTCCTCTTAGGAGTAGTTTTTTCCCTCCTTCACAAAAATCCACCTACATTTGGCCCAGTTAAAAGCTTCAGAAAAGCTGTAGTCTGCACATGCTCCGGAGGTCTGGTGAGGCATAATCTCTAAACCCTACCCTTCCTGGGCCTGACTGGATGGTGCATACACCTCTGCCCTGAAAATAACGTGAGCACAGGGGCACCAAACGAGATCCTCTCTAATGACTGCTACCTGCTGCTCCAGCCAGGTAGGTAACCTCTCTCTGCTCCAAATCGTGATTCATCCACTGTTATTAGACGGATAAGACCATCAGCTCATCAAGTGACAAGTGACCATGCAATGAACATATAGATTTCAGCTCTCATCGAGCTTTCCCTGTTTTATCAAACTGCATATAAAGAGGAAATTCACTGTGAGATCTAGACTGGAAAATTGCCGGAAAGGCAATATAGAGAAGAAATACCAAGTCAGGAAATAAAAGAATTACCATGCCTCTGCATTATGGAACAGTATGTAATGGTATGATTTTATGCTATTTTCTCAAAGTCGTCCTTCACAGCACAGATGGATTCTCAACTGTGCAGCACGTTGCCATATACTCAGCACCATGTTATCATTAGCTATTGTGTAGCCAGTATTTTATTCTCACCTCATTTTGTGGCCCCAAACCCCTTTCCCAAACTCTATTCAAACCCTGCTCTGACGATAGGATGACTAATACGTTCATGATGCTCGTAACTGCTTTACAAATGTCAGTCAATTTATTTTCACCACACCCTGTGACTGCGATTTTATAATCACTGCTGTAGTGTGTGGGACCTGAGACACACAGAAAAGGTTAAAAAGTATCAGTCACGTTGGATACCCAATTACAGTATCTATTGCCCAATTTTCCAAGAGCTTGTATCCCAAACTCCACTTCTATTGATGTAATTTGCAGCACTGTGTGCTCAACACTTGTATAAATCAAACTCCAGTCAAATATGCAGAATGTTGGTAACATATAATTAGCGACTGTTTATGATGCAATTAGCTAAATAACTTACCAAGCATTATCCAAGGCTTTCGTGGCAAAAGCAGGTATAAATCTGTGTTTTCATAGCTACAGCTATTCCTTTAGTCATAAGCCTCTCTCTCATTCTTCTTTCATTCCTCTTCCTCATTCCATACCCACCTCCTCATCTCAATAACAAACCTGCAGACCAGGCATGGAGGCCCTTGCAGGGGCTACCATGGCCTCAGTACTACACCAGTATTAGTCACCAGGTATTCATGCCATGTTTCTACCCTGTTGTGAATGCAGGATACATGACCTGCAGTGATGCCTTACCAGGTATTTCACTGTCAAAATCTGCTTCAGCCCTACCTCTCAGTTCTGCCAGTCATATCAACCTGGAACCACAAAGGTCAGGGCTGGAAGGGAGCTTAAGAGATCCTTCCCCAAGCTGCCTGGGCACACTTCATGTCCCATAGATGTTTGTCTAACCAGTTCCTAACCCCAGGAATTCTCTCTAGTGAATTAATTCCTGTATTAAACTATCATTACTATTCTAACACTTCTTCAAATTTTCATCCTAAATTGTTGGTCCTTCAGTTTAAATTCCAGCTTCCAGTGCTGACTGCTGTGTGAGGACAGGCTTCCATGAATAACATGGAAACTGGTCCTGTAATTAAAGATTATCATTTACTCAAGGATGGAAAGTAAGATTGCATAGGTAACCTGAGATCCAGTAATTTCTAACTTTTGACTTTGAAGTCAAAATAACTTTTCCTTAGTACACAGTCATTGTGGGAATAACATATTTTGAGGATAATTTTTTTTTTGCTTTTCCTCAATATTTAACCTTTTCTTTTGAAATACTTTAAAACCTAACACAAACCCAGTCAAAAGAGATGAAGCACTATCCATTTTAGGATAAGCTTAAGATCTTAAGAGTAGACTCTTTAAACATCAAACTACCTTTTCTACTGATATAGAGCAGCCTGGTCTAGTGGAAAATGTCCCTATCCATGGCAAAGACAGTTGAAACAAGTTGATGGTTAAGATCCCTTCCAATCCAAACCATTCTTTGATTCTATATAAATCAACCTTCTAGCAGCAGCAGACAGTTTATTTAAACCAATTTTCAAGGTACAAATTATTGCAGACTACAAAATAAACACTATGTCTTTATTTCATGTGAAATGGCATAGAAGCACCTGATGAGAAAGAAAGCCTTATTCCAAACGCATGTCCTCCTCTTTAGGACTCTCTGTGAAGACTCCAATACCAAGACATGATAAATGACATTAAGCACTGGCCTGCATCAGTAGCTCTAGTTGTGGAGCAGCAAACTTTTTATCATTCTGACTACAGATGGAGGACATCCAGTTTTCCCTTCACTATTAGCTGAGAATATACAGTCCTGACCAAGAACGCTGGCTGTGGAAACTTTCCACCTGCTGAAGAGGAATTAATTCTCCAGTCCAGAGTACTGAAGGTATCAAGCTAAAAAGTGTGACTTTCAATTGATTTCTCTTTCCTGGAAGTGTTTTAACACCTGCCATGCATCAGGAATCATTCACACAATACGCCAGAAATAAAATACAAGAAAAACATTGTGCAATGTGCCTTGAAGCACATTACAGACTGTCAGACCTTTTCTAATAGAGCATTAGGAATAGGTTAATTAAGGGGAAGGTGGGGGGCAGATCTAAAATGTCTGTATGTGGCATCTGAGAATAAGCAGGGTGAAAACAGGCTGGCCACAGGAATTATAAGTGTACTTTAAAATAAGCCCTCATTCTGTCTTTCTGTATTTCTCTTTACACTGGGAAATTTAACCTGGAAGCACGGACACTCTCTGACATTTTGAAATTTAATCCCAAATGAGATTCCAGTCAGAAATGCAGCTCCATGAAAATAATCAGATACAATCAAATGCAAAAGGTGTGACCTAAAATATCAAAATATAAAGCGTTGCTATGAACTCCCTTGGACAGAACACAGTAGGAATGGGTCATCAGACCACAACTCAGTAAGAGTAGCAGACAGCAAGCAAGCAAAGGCATTGGATTGGAGAAACCAAGTGAAGGTGGTGTAATGAAAGGAGATTAAATGTGTTCAAGAGTGAAAAAACCCCAGGGACATTGCAACAAGGCTTCTGAAAGAGGGAATACAGATGAAAATTAAAAACATAATGAAACTTTTGATATACAGAAACATCTTAATGGCATTTATATCTCGACAACTTCGAGAGGTTCTCCTTAAAGAAAGCCTAAAGCATATGTCTGAAAAGTAAGTGCAAGCATTCAAAAACATGAAAGGAAAATGTTAACTCTCCTGCAATATCGATTGGCCGGGCTGGGATTCCTGTGGGCAAAAGTAGACGTGCAGCATGTACACACCTGGTCCTGAGCTAGTTTCTTGAGCAAAGAGGTACTTCTAAGATACTATTTATCTCATCCTAAGGCAGACATCTGAAACAGGTCAGATGAATCACCCTGTGAAAATGTCAATTTATCTACAGCTATATGGAGAGGTGTGCCTGAGCAGGTCAGCCTAAGACATCCATATTGTACAACTCTGAAGTGAGGTAAGCTGAACCCCCACTCAAAGCAGACATTGTTTTAATGTGACTCTTATGAAACGCTGGCTGACTTGTCAAGTAATGCAAACAAATTTTCATGGGAACTCACCCTGAGGGTTATTGATCGAGGTGGTTTCTGAGGAGGATCTTCGTGAAGCCTGTCTCCCAAAGATGCCAGAACACGTTTCCGATGGCCAATCAAGCTGATTTTTAAGACCTGAAATTATATAAAAAAAAAAGCCTCATTAAAAAGAACACTTGGCAATCATTAAATGAAGATGCATTCAGAACGAAGCCATTTTCTCCTTAAACCTTTTAACGAGTTAGTCCTCTAATATAGGATGAGCAGAGAAAGAGCAATGCGAGGCAAACAATCAGGAGAGAAAATGGGAAGCAAGATCAAACAGAGGAAAAACCCTGTAAAATGAAGGGAGAAACTAGAGCAGGTATAGATGTGGAAAACTGGGAAAAAAATTGACTCAAAAATTAGTAAAGAGGAAAGAAAAATGAAACAAGAAAAGGCAGCAGAGCAGGAAGAAAAAAAGGGGAAGGGGATGAGGAGACTGGAGGAGGAAATGTAGAGGTGCAGGCAAATGGTGAGTGATCAGGATTAAAGGGAGGCATGGGATGGATGAGGAAGAGAGTGAGGAACAGCCAGTGAATGCCTAAGAAGGGGCAAGAAGATAAAAAAAGGAATCATAAAAAGAATAAATGTTACCACTTTTAAATCTATTTGCCATGCCTTTCACAGGTAATCTCCAAACAACACATATAGTTTGCATTATTCTGTAGAATCATCTTAGTGTAAGAAAACACAGGATGGACAAACTTTGTCCTGAAGTTCTACTACTTTATCAGATGCAATGCAAAAAGAATCTCTGTTGCACACGAATTTTGTCCACCAGTGGACATGTTCAAATACCTCATGCTTGTCCAAACTCCAAGAACACTGCCAAAAACTTGTTTCAAATTTAGTTAACTACTCCCCATTTGTACCTCTTTGTGTTCCTGCCACATACAAAGCCGTCACTGCTCTCAGGAAAACAGAGCAGAAGCAGTGAGTTGGAAACTTTAAGTATTAGTGGGAAAAAAATCCTATTTCAATGCTATTCTTTAATATGATTCTAAATACAATGGCTTCAGAGTGTAAAGCAGCCCTAATTGTAGCACCAAGCCTCTGCTCTGAAACAGCAGTGTCCTTACGTAACTCTTCCAGACTGTATATACGATTTCATACACCAGAGCTGCCTCCATTCCCTCTCAGAAGACAGTACTTCCCACTATATTTAGGACCACTGTGTGTCAACACCCTTCAGTCGAGAGGAAGTTCTCATTCAACCTAGAAAAAGTAACAGTCCCCAAAAAACTCTGAAAATGCCACATCTTAAGTGAACAACTACCTCAGCTTAAGCAGTAGCACTAGGAGCTACTATTCATGAGAACAAATAAAAACTCAAAACCCCTCTACAACATCTCTTAGATCCTGTATATCAGGATATGGTGCAGCAACACTGTCATTATTCTGGTATCCATACCTATCCAACCGTTATCCTTCCTATCCGTGGGCACAAGAATTTGCCTATGCTTCCTCTGTTGGATGTCTCTGTGCTATCTGATAGTGCTGAACATCAATAACATCTTGTTTGCCTTCATCTACAAAGAGATGGGCTACCACATGAAGCAGTTGGAGACCTTCCTCTGAGAGGCAGCTTACAGGGGTGCTGCAGAGCCTGCAGCTCAGCAGCAGAGCCAAGCTGCAGAGTCCCACAAACCACACTGCTATGTGCTCCCCTTTCAGTCTAAACCTAGAGAAGCACGAGTGAAGCCGAGGTAGCACAGCACACGCAGAAATGCCTGAGGCATGCAGGAGACTTAGTTATGTATTCAGTTTACACTGAGTGTTAAACAGAAGGGTGCACAGTTTATCTCTGCATTTAACTATATGAAACACGTGAATGAACTACAGCTGCTTTAGGCATTACTCAAGTAATGCACTTCAGTGAACTTGCATCTTTCATAATGCTTCCCCATCAACAAGAGCATTTATCCAGAGATTTTTAAGCCAAGCTACAGTCCTTGGGTTGTTTCAAGGTCCTCAGCACTCTGCTGCCTTATTAGCTATATCAAACCACACAAAGCAGTTCCCTTTGACTTCACAGAGCTGTTGAACAACAGGAGAGAAAAGGACACGAGTCTTGAGGGACTGCGCATATCAGCAGACGGGTCTAAATTATTTCAAAAACTGCTCAATTTCAAAGTAATACAGATCTTTAAACCCCATAAGCACTGCTAAGCTCACTCCACCTTTTTTTCCCCTATTATAATGGTGTTCCCCCCAAATCTGAAGTGGGAGGGATTTAACAATGCAACCTAAAGAAACATATGGTCCTCACTCAACAGGCAGGTGCACCCCAGTCTCATCTGGAGCACATATGCTGTTAACTGAAGTCAGCTGTATTCTTCTGGAAATGACTCCCCAGCAATTTTCTTACTTGGAAAACCCATACTCAACTTAAAAGTGTTTTTCTGAAACACTTCTACATTTCAATTATGAGAGTTTAATAAGCATACAGAAACTCTGGAAACTTGTCCTGTGATGGATTATCCCTGACAGTATTTATCACAAATGTCAAGTATCACAAATATAGGTCAACAGTGTGGAATGGTACAGCTGCCTAAAGCAGTATCTTAGAAATATGTTAATGCTGTGTATCAGGTAACCATTAAAAGTCTTGCACTTACATATCCCACAAGTTAGCTTCCTGTGAATAATTGCATACACCAGGTAACAGTGAACCACTGCACTAATACTGTATAGGGACATTCAAAAAAATGCACATAATTGCTATGCAGTGAAACACTTTGTCAAAGGGACCGTAGCCTACTTAGTATACAACAATGAAATGAGTTTTGCAGTGTAGCTGCAGGAATCAGCAACAACATGCCATGAAACTGTTCAGAGTAGCTTAAGGCCCTCCACAGCCTGTTATTTTATTACTAGGACAAAATAAAAAGAAAAGGATGTACATGACATGCATCTTTCCATATGACCAGCAGGCTACCTGAGACAAAAATGATACAACTTCATCTCACATATTTGGCCGTACTGATGTCGTAATACAATTAAAGGAGAATGGAGAAAGTAATTTGTCCAAAGAACTTATACATGCACACAAATTTGATCTTATTTTTACTTCCATACTCTGCAATGATTAACATACAAAATGAAATTCCACTTGGAAATGTAAGAAATCCACAAATATAACCAATGTAACATGCTGCATTTAGATTTCTGGCTTAGTTGACAGATGTTTTAAAAAACACACTTAGCCCAGTAACTCCCTGATGACTGTGTAGGTGCAGATGCTGGAATTAACAAGTTATTCCATCTAAAAATGAGCATTATTTCTGCAACAGTCTTCTGCCTGATCTTTTCTTCTAAATGAATAATAATATCCAATACCCAGTACTATACTGTTATAATTATTCCACTTTTTTTTTTCAAAATAAATTTTGAGGAGTGTTACGAAGATTACTGACATTTAAGACATCAATTCCCTTTCTTTTGGAATAATCTGAAAAGTCACAGTACATGCTAAAATTAGTACCATCATAGCACAAGTGGTCTGAACTAAATGTGTAGCAGCAATCGGACACTAGGAACCAGCTACAAAGTGGAAAAAACTAGAGAGTGATCGGAACAGCACTAGTGATTATCTGCTAGCAGCATCAGACACCTCAGAATATAAGAAAAGAATGGTAAGTGCAAGTCTACAAAATTGGGATCTTCCTATTTCTGCAAGTAAATAAGCCAAAAACTAGCTAGATTAGATTTTATTAACAATTTTATGGCTGGTCATATTGGAATAGACTCCAAGCTATCTGGAATTGCAGGGATTTATTTGATTGTTACCCCTTTCCTGCCATAATGCTGCCCCACAGGGCTAATCCTCAAACATGGCAGTGCCCAGAATACCCAGGAAGTGAGCCCAGGTCAACCAGTACAGCTCATCTAATCATTGGAACTGGTCTAACTGAAAATTTGAGAAAGGATTAAACACACTTGCTGTACAAATTCCCAGCATCAACAACTGTTCAAGATTTTACAAATCCTTTCCACAGAACTGCTGTCAGTGCTAATGTTTGAAACAAGCAGACAAAGAAAACCCACAGAACTGCTGTCAGTGCTAACATTTAAAACAAGCATACAAAGAAAACCCACCAAACAAACAAAAAAAGGTGAAACCCCCCCCCCCCCCATATCCCACATACTAACCAAGATTACATGGTGGCATAATTGTCATATTTTGAAAATTAAACATGCCCAAGTCAGCTGTGATATTTAAAGAGGGTAGGTTTAGATTAAATATTAGGAAGAAACTCTTTATGGTGAGGGTGGTGAGGCCCTGGAACAGAGTAATTGCAGATGCCTCATCCCTGGAAGTGTCCAAGGTCAGGTTGGACTGGGCTATGAGCAACCTGGTCTAGTGGACGATGTCCCTGCCCATGACAGGGGGCTTGGAACTAGATGATCTTCAAGGTCCCTCCCAAGTTAACGCCTCTATGATTCTATATAGATATTAAATGCCCAGTGCCTTTGCCAATACCAGACACAGACAAATTCAGTCCAATACATATTAAACGTTTGTTGCAATTTTCACATAGGGATACTTTCTCATCCTGACTGCAACTGCTGAAACCTTCCAACTGTAAATTATCGCAAACCTTTACTACTTTTAGCAGCACAGAGCTTTTCCTGAAGACTCCAGACCACCCAGCAAAGAGCAGGCATGCAAGAACATAGAAGCTCCAAAGCATCCTGCAGGTCAGAGGCTTGCTGCAACTTTTCTGGTGTCTACAACTGCAGTGGAAGCAATTGTTTATCATGCTTATGAAGAGACTTGTAATAGATTTATGATTTCATATTATAATGATTTTATATCATAATGCTATGAAATAGGCATTATAATCCTCTGGAATTAATTATCCAACTGGAAAGAGATGTCAGTTGTCTTGGTGACAGCACTTCACAAAGGCAGATGGCTGTCTCGTAAGTTCCATTTCTATACACTACCATGAGGAACTGATGCTTGTTTGGTTCCCCATCCCCATCACTCAAACAAACAATTTAGAAGCAGATTTCTATTTAATGGTACTGAGAAAGCAAAGGCCACAAGTCTTCTCCAAGTAGTGTTACAATGCTGCTCAGCCATTGCC